AACACTGAATTTATTTAAACCGATGAACAAGTTCACTCCAAAAAAGACAGGATCTTGCTGAACATGTAAATGTTTTACACCGATACTCAACATAACAGGAGACTTCTAGTACTCATGATACATGGTGAGTCAGCATTCTACTGATATATGTAGCTGCCCTAGATGATGAATCCGATGAATATAACATCCTATTAACCTTACTGAGCCAAGAAAGAAATAAGAAACACTTTGCTTTATAAAACCTTTTTGTGATTGTCCATATCTGAAACGGCAATTCTAGACGAGGTCATTCGGGCATAGACTGCTTAACCATGCTAACTCATGAAGTAGTTTTTCCTTTTCTTTGGGCGTTACACGATGTCGCCAAAGAAGAGATTAATGAGTTAATTCGTGCTTAAACATCCCAGGAGGTGTGTACTCTCTGAACGGTTAATAATTTGTAGAAGTTCAGACTTCTAATTCATTTCATTATTTAGCTCAGTGAAGAAGAAAATTTTCTGTTGATTCGCCTCTAGATGATGGTCTGTTCTTTCGATGGGAAAAAAATATGTTGATTACACTTTGACTGAAATCTGCGTGAATAACTTCAAAGTTAAGTTAGTAATCATAAAAATCAAAAGAGTTTTTGCCTTATTTTGATTGCCTGGAACAGCAGTGTAGTTATTTATTTAGTGATGCTTATGTTAGTTCAGCTGTCACTTCTCTTAACAACTTATTGCATGTGTATTTTCTCAAACAAGAAAAAGCTGTGACACGATCATCAACTTGGGAAATATCGAAAATTGATTCCTGTTTGTCACCAGATGTCCAGGAATGGTCTCTGATAACACTTATCTACGGTCGGTTTTTCTTTCTTAGACTTATAATGAAGTTCTGACCTCTTGATTGGCCTGAGTTCAATCAAAAACCGACCTCAAATAACTGGAGTTGGCGACGAAGTTGTAATATTTATGAGATAAAAAAGTTCGTGTGTAAACAGCATTTATGGCGTGTTAATAATCATATATACGTTTCATAGATAAGAACATGAAGTACATGAAAGGTCAAGTTCAGCCAAACATGCCAAATTTAGCCGAAAGAACTGAGGCCATTCAACTCAGTGTGCCACGCTCGCTCAATTCCTTTGATTTGGTCAAATTAATTTCACAGGAAAAACCTTTGACTTGGTTTATTCACCCACTAGAACGCCTTTCGATTGAACAACCAATCAAAGAAAAGAAATTACCTTCCAGAGCCAATGGGATATCATTTAAACCATTAACTGCCTAAAGCGCGGGAAAACGGTTTTAGTTCTGTATTTGATTGGTTAAAGGGAGAGGCGCGAGTATACGGGACCAATCACAGAGCGAGGTTTGGCAAAACCAATACAATTGCGGATTATTTTCGAGATTAAATTGAAAAAGTGCCATAAATAGCCTATCATAAAAGCAGCACGATACATTGTTTTAAAAAAAGACCACAAAGACTAAGACACCTATATATCAATCGCCTAAGTTCAGTTAGATTATGACATTACAGAGTCTAGGGGGGAAACTAAACAAAGTAAACATGGCCGGAAACTTAACTAAAATTATAACATAAGTAACCTGGCATTCATTGGAAATGGAAATCCACTAGTTTAAAAACTTGTAATAAAAGCCGCAGTTCAAGAAACGGGTATCCCATGATCCTTAGCAACACAAATCCTCGCTTTTTAGCCTGACGATGTCTTTAGCTTTGGCAAGTATGCTGAGTTTGATCTAAGAATTATTAAACTCAAATTTATCTCAAAAACCCACAGAATGTGACATTTTGTAACCGTTGATAAGTATGACAAAAACATGGTCAAGTTAAGCAATTCGGCTTTTTACAAACGTACACCTTACTTTTCGGTTGTAGACAGATACCGAACTGAAACATATATAAGACAAATATTTCTGTGTGAGTAAGAAGGATTTATTTTTATCGCTTTCCTGTCGGCAAACTGTAAAGGAGATGAAAGTAAAAGTTTTTATATGAAGCTTCCAGCAAAAGAATAACCATGAATTATTAACGAAATACAGCGCCAATTTTCTTGGTAAATAAAGATGTCTTTCGGCTCGTAAACTTTTGAGTAAAAATTGCGGGCGAAATCGATATAGTCAAGTGGAATTCTCTTCAAATTTTTCATCGCAGTCGACACTAACATTTTGTTGACAATTCGATGAACCTAATTGAACGAAACACTTCTAAAAATTAGAGGGTAAATGGCAGCATTGATTACTACAAACGAAAATTTCATTCAGAAATATTCTGCCATTAAATTGATCTAATTGAGTTGGGTAAACAATACAAAGTCAAAGCAGCTCTAAATCAAGACGCAGATGTTTCCGAGATGATTTCTGTAAGTAGAAATGAGAGAAGGTATAAGGATTTTTCTTTCTCATATGTGTTTACAAACTTGACACGAGTCTCTCTTTAAACAAAAGCCCTGTTGGACATCATTTGGTGTTTACAATTTATATTTAGATGCATAAGAAACCCTTTTGCTTGAACCGGAGTTCAACACGCAAACAATAAGCACAGCTTCCAACCCGACTTTTGATGCAAGACATCACTTTTTATTGAATGGTTGGTGAGTCAATAATTTTTTATGTCGTTTTATCGCGGTACGGAAATCTTCTTTTGCGAAATTAAGGCTGAGAAACGAATTATAGATGTTATGCAACTAGGTTGGGAAAAGATAAGTTACTTGCAGTACGTGAGTAGAAAAGCAGGCTTTCAAGAACGAAACACTTCAGTTATTAGAATTTACCTTTAATAACAATTTTGTCTTTTATCAAAACAGCGGGAGCGACAAGAACAAAATGTTCATTTTATGAAATCATCATAGGAGGTGTGAAGTATCTTCGATAGAATACATTGAGATGGGATTTTGTGGCCAATAGCCACAGCTGTTCCTTATCCTACTATTCCCGAAGTGTGACCAACGTGATTCTCCTCTCAGAATCTGTGCATACGTTTAATAATACGTGAAAATAAAGGCATACAACACAGGGATGTTGTCCTGATCGTGTACTAAATTCTCAAACTAACATTAACAAAAGTATATTAAATTTAGTTGGGAGAATCATCGATTTGAGATGTGGTTAAAAAGGTTTGCAACAGAGAAGATGATGAGTTCTGCGGCACACGATAAAGTACTTTGGCAACTTAGCCAAGTCTGTTGTATTGTTTATTGTCTCTGTCGGATAAAGCCTACGTGAACTGAACTGAGAAAACCGAAGAATTTCAGAGTAAAAATTTTGCTTTTATCTATCCAACACGCTTTCAAAATTCCAACAAAATAAAACAATGCCATAAATGAAAATACCATTGTGCTTCCCAGCGAGGGTCACACGGAACCGAAACTAGAATGTTGAAGTTCTTTACAAGTCGGCATGAATGCTGTTATGAAAGTGCGTGGAAGAAAATGACTCTTTCTAACCAGGGGTCGAAACTTTCCTACTGTGGTTTTCGAGAGAAAAAGAATAGGGGCTGCAGAGAGTAAGTAATTATTTACTAAACAGATTCTGCAGCCCACAGTGGAAGCTTTCAGGCCTCTACATTCCGTTTCAAACCAAATATTAAACTAAGGTGTATTGTTTATATATTTTAATGTTAGAACGTAAACAGAGCATTGTATCCATCAGAAAAACGATCTCATGTTTGTTTTTCTTAACTAAGACCCATTTAGCATGCTGCTAAAAGTAGACGAAGACGGATCACATCTGACTTCTATTTGACCTAAGAGCACAAAACTTTGTCAGTGATCGATAACAACTATACTCCGTCAACCGGAGAAGCCGGCAATGCTGATTTCAAAGCAAGAAAGTCGTATTGGTTTTTGTACACGATTCCGAACAGATCGCGGATTATTCCTGGAATAATAATGAGCTATTACAGGGGTGCTTTGGGGCTGAATTCGTTCTAAGAGACTCACTCACGGCCACACACTAACATAAGTGAACGCCCATGAAAGAATATATATCATCTTTTGTTATTACCGAGAGTCCTGGAGCGAGACTATTCCGCACGCTTCAAATCTAAAACATTTTTTTACATTTTGATAATGGAATTAGTTTTAACTTGGGGTATAGAAAAGTCAGTGAGAGTCAAATTGAAGGTCTACTCAATTGTTGTTTGTAAATTAAAACCGTTGTTGAAATTTGTGTTTTAAATGGAAATAGAAGAACTCCTCTGTTTTTACCTTTCCAAACGACAGGAGAACTGGAAATATACTTATGATGTGTCTGATGTCCGAGGTTTGACGAAGTTCATTTGAAAATTATTGTGATTAGAGGAGCCAGAAATTACGCAAAAAGAAAGAAGGAAAGAAGAAAAAAATGGAAAAAAAGGGCCATTTCGCAAAAAGCCTCCGAGTCACTTTGTAGGACTCCATAACGATAAAATAAACTGTTTAATTTTGTTTAAGTTCTTTAGAATATCTTGATTATTGGGTTAAAAACACCTACCGGTTAATCTCTGGAGTGATACAGCGTGGTTCGCAGAGTTTTTCCAAATACAGCTTATGGTAAAATTGTAAAGAAGTGTCATAAAATCAGCAGGAGATTGCTAAAGTGTAATAGATTATTATGTGTTAGCTCAAGTTTAGATCATAAATAATCCTAGCTCTGAGATGAATGGAAATTTAAAGTTTTCGCTACTTCCATTAGATTCATTTTAAACAGAATTAAAGCAAGAAATTATTGTTTACTTGCACTTTTAACAAGGAAATTAAATTGTATGCAGAGAGGTTGACCCATGTTTCAGAGTTCACTGAGCAATGGTGAGGCTGCGTCGTTTGTGTGATGGGCCATGAAGCAATAAATCTATCTTTATAAGCTTTAATTAAAATCGCCTACTGTCCTTGTAAATTAGACAAATTCTTGCCTCGCATGACAAGGTCCATGGAAATTTTTACATTACCCAAGAAATAAACAAACAGAAGACACAAATTCGCGCTTTAATCCGCAAAGATATTTTAAAAAGGACTTCTCACCTCACAACATTACTGATCTCGTTGGCAAATAATACAATAAAACAATCAGAGAGGATCCAACGCAAAGCACAGAATTCGTGTTTGTACAAACGTTGTTTTGTCTGTAAAGAACAATGTTTTCAAAGGGTGGAAAAACAGAAGTAAAGACAGTCGGCAATTGTGCATAACACGTTTATAACTTAGGAACAGGAACTAGCCAAGGTAGCGATTGTTACAGAGAAATTGTTAATTACAGTTATCAAGTCTTGGTTATCTTTGAAATTCGCAAGTGGGTTATACATTTACATATCATAGCTTTCCGAATTACGCACAAAGATAAACACATCTTTCGCACTTTTAATATGCGGAAAATTCACTTTAACCGAGAAGTTTTTTAATTGCAGGTTAACCGATGATTGAAGGACAACCAATTGAAACTTGTCAGTAGTTAGAAGTTGTTGAAGAGCGACGTCCTACTCAATCAAAGGAAGCATCTTTACAAGTATACCAATGTTGCATTTATTGCAATAATTTTACGGGTCAAATCAGCTGGCTTGGACCCGAAAGCTAGCCAACCACAACAACACAAGCTGCAAAATGGAGTGATTTTGTCATCTTACAACTGCGAACGTTAGAACCCCATCATGGGTGAGAAGAACTTTACTATGTCCCCTACGAGTGCGAGTGGCAACTTCATCGAGCCAGCTTATATGCGCTGGACACTTCGCTTGATATTTATCGTTGTGTTCATTGTAGGAATCATCGGTAACTCTGTGGTTTGTGTGGCTGTGATCCGTCGTAAGCGGATGCGGACGAGCAATAACATTTTCACTTTTAATCTGGCTCTTTGCGACTTACTAAACGTAGTGATCTTTTTACCGACGCAAATGGCTGCGTTTGAAAACAACCATAACTGGGCTACAGGAAATTTCATGTGTCATTTCACCTACATTCTGGTTCCTCTCTGCTTGTCAGCCTCAATCGGGACACTCCTCGCCATAACAAGCGATCGATACAGAGCAATTGCTTATCCTATGAAACCCCGATTAAGCGGTAGAAAAGTCAAAATCACCCTGGCTGTAATTTGGATCACCTCTTTTGTGATCTGTTCTCCACTTCTATATGTGGCTGGGATAGTAAGACCTAAGCCTGGTAAAGTTTATTGCGATGAGAAATGGCCAGATCCTCTTTATTTTGAGCTCTATTGGAATTTCATTTTTGTGATTCAATACATCTTACCTCTGGCCATTATTGTAGTGTTAGCAGTGCTAATCGCGGTTAAGATTCGTAAGAACAACACAATGAAAATGCTTCCTAAAAGCTCTCAGGTAATAGCAGCTGCAGTCAGGCAGAGAATGAAACAGACTTCAAAAATTACCAACATGCTAGTCGCTCTGGTGATACTCTACGCAATCTGTATGCTTCCTCAACATTTTGTGTTCTTGTGGTCTAAATACGGTGACTTATTCAACTCCAAGTACTTTGTTTACGTTCTGCGATTTTCAAACGTTTTCCCAATGGCAAATAGCGCACTCAATCCTATCGCTTACGGAACACTGAATAAAGAGTTTAAGAAAGTCTTTAAAAGCTTCTTTCGCTGTGAGTGCGGGCAAAAGACGAATGCGGATGTTTATAAAACAAATCCTAAGGCAATGAACGAAATCCGTGGTGGTAAGTTCAGATTAGCAGTGTATAAACACGCCAATGGCGATGGAAAGGCTGGTGGCGATGTGGAGAGTGGGAGCCGACTAACTCCTGCTTCCACTACCTCTTCGGCGACAAATAAAAAACTTCAAAGGAGAAGTGAAGATGGTGGAAGAGAATTTAAAAGGACACCCATTTCTAATAGTTATACCACAACTTTGTCCATATGTGATCAAAATTCGAATGAAAACGAAGACGAAAGACAAAGTCTTTTACAAAGAGAAACAAAAGAGGACTGTTCAAACATGTCACGTTCACGACCACCCCCAACTTACATAAAACAGAAAGAAGAAGAAGAGCAATTGTTGATAGATAGCGGGAGGGGATCTGAATTTGTCAGAAATGAACATGTGTTTCCCAACGATTCTGAAGACATGAACATGCAAACAGACAAAATTGCTGCAGAGGCCAATATAAGTCGTCCTGATGCTAATGTGTGTGCGGGTTGCGCGTTCGACCCGAAGAAACTACATCCAAAGGAAAACTTAGAGACTCAGTTGTTGACACTTAACGACGTCGAAAATGACTCATTTATGGACTGCTGGGTTGAAGTGAACAAAATAGACCAAAAGCTTCTCGCCTATATAAGCTCTTTACAAGAAACTGATCTTTAGAACACTGTATCCAGATATAATTTCGGTTTCTCTCCCAATTTTGTTTCTCTTATTAAAATACATTTCAAGTTTGCTCCGATAGTGGAAACTAATAACAGGTTTAGGCTTGTGTAAACAAAGAGCACCAAATCTTCGCTACTATTGACTGAAAAACGCGAAGGGTCACTTTTGAATTGTAAATAAATTAAACTTTTCATAATCAAGCTCAACACAAAAGAGATCCGAAAAAGGAGCACGCGAATAGAAAAGATTCTCTGTTCAATCATTTATATTTGTTTAACACGGAATGCAAATCCAGAAACGAATTATGTCTCAGGTCTTTAACATCCTTCAAACATTGCTCACTTTCAAGTAGAAAGTTTGGCTCTGGTTTTATTCCAATCGAACAATTCCACGGCACTTGAGATTTTATTTCAAGTTGTTGTTTATGTGTACTCTATAATTTAATTATTATTTAACGTAAGTGACCAAGCGAGAAAGATTTTATGAAGACGCAGACAGAACAATACACGGCTAGAGGCAACATCTGCCCAATTTGCAATAAATTTCATGGTTGAGGAAGGCGCTAACAAGAATCAAATTAGTCTGTTGAATGCACTAATGACCGTCTAAGAGAAGTATTAATGAAATACCTTGTAGCTAAAATTTTCTGTTCTAACAATATCTGGAATCCTGTGAAAGTTAAAAGAGGACAAGGAGTTGCTTACAACATGTATTGACAACAAAGTCACATCAAAACCTGCTCTTAGTCATAGAGCCGGTGCAAACATATACACTATAGCTGTCCCCAATAAACATAACAACCAAATTTAATATCCTTACTATTTGTGGGGGTACATTGCCACCAATTAAATGTTTTTTTTTCTTTGTCTTGACGCAATTGCTCAAAAGCGATATAAGGGGCTGTTAAACGTCTCAAGATCGATTCCTTTGGGGGCAATAAAGGTTTCCACAATATACGGAAGGCATTCTGGCGCCATCACTTAATCGTTTATTTTGCCTGACAAAAGCCTTGCGTGCCTTTGTCTAAACTGTTTATGTCCAGTTATACAATGTACTCTCTACAAATCCTATTCAACTTGTTAAACTAATTCTAATCACAGTGGTCCGAGAGATCTAAGCCTGGTATTTGATAATTAACTCATTAGGTACAAATATTCATATTTAACAATATCAAAGTTAAAAACAAATTTCTTGGGGGGTTATTCAACCTAGGCTCACCTACCTCAATGAAAACGCACATTTTCATCAACTGAAAAAAAGGCTAAAGAGGTTAGGTTGGTATTTCAGAGAATATTCTGAATGCCGAAGTAAAAACTACATCGTTATCATAGCTAACTGATACTCGCCTAGTTATGGTAGGTTGATTTTATAAGTTTAGTTAAAGACTGTTGCGGACAAACATAACTCTGTAAAGTAAATAAAAGACCAACAAGTGGGAAATACAGAAAATGTAATTAAGATGAGTAAACATCTTTATCCGTTGTGCACACGCTCGAACTTGAGTCGCGTTGTTGTTTGCATGCGTGAGATTATCTCCTTTTTTGTTAGGCGCATGTGCTCAATTGTGTCCATTCGTTTTGCGCGTGTACTTCTGACGCTGACATCAATCCTCTAAGGAGTAAAGACTGAACAAGAAAAACTTATTTCACGCATGCTTCTTTCACATGCTTGATCTTTACAAGCAAAACAATTTTGCTTCCGGTGACACTAAAGCGACACTGAACCTGCGTAACTAAAAAGTTCAGTGACTATTTTTTTTTGTGAGCATTACTTGTGTAAGGTCGCCTTTTGTCACCGATGAAGAGACTTCTAAATAAGCATCAGTTGCTGTTCTCCTGAAGCGAATCATGTTAGAAAAAAACGCCTTTTCCAATATCCTTCTTAATGTATATTCATGAAATTGCGATACAATATTCCTAGTTGCGTCTGGTATCGCACTGATTACAATTTTCGTTTGGAAATATGATGATATAAAATGAGAACTTAGGAGACATATCAAATGCATAGACGATGGTTACCGGTACAACAAAATTTAGAGTTCTCAGAAAGTAATTCGATTTGCCAGTATCATAACAAGCCAAACAAAGGGCAAATGAATGACACACGACTTTGTCTTTACTTTTGTTGCGTGCTCCATTGAAAACATGCACTTAGTAAATTTTTTTGGCTCCTGTCACGCTGTTGCCAGTACACTTGGTTCATCTTATTAAGTCCGCCGGTTTGGGTTCGAACGTTTTCTTGACGTGGCACTGGGTTTATTACCCGTGGAATTGCTCCCTGTAGGACTAAGACTGAGATTTCCCGATGACTGCTTGCGTTTGACACTTGGTTTTAGGCTTCCTCGACGCATGCTACGAGAACCTCTGCCGCTGACCTCTAGGGTGTCAGTAGGCGTGCGGCGTAAACTTTCTAAAATAAGGGCAAAATATTGGTTAAAAATGTCACCTCTAAAACTTATGGTTTGCTCCCGGAAATGTTAACAGGGTGAAATCGCCCCTTATTTACTGCATTGAGGGGGAACGTAACACTTAACACTCGATCTAAACTCCAATCAGTGAGTACACATCCGGGACTAGATTTGGATCTTGAAATGAAGTAGAAAATCAGTTAAAAGGTGGGCTCGATTTCTGCCGTTTCCCCGGATGGAAGGAGCGCGAGCTCATTTCTCGAACGGAAGCTGGTATAGTGAAGTCTATTTAAAGGTGGCTATAAGTAAACTATTGAAAACAGACATGTGAAGGTACTCATCAAAATATAAGTGACATGTTAAAAGTCCCAAATGCTCACCTAGGAAATCCTTTGTCAAAACGTCCTCGTCATTAAGAAGAGGTGTGTACAGGGGAAATTCACGGCCCTCTATGTTTTCTACAAAACAAAACAAAATTAAAACAAAAACGAAAAAAAAAATGAAACAGAAGTGAAAGCATTGGATGGTGATACGAGAACATGGTTTTATGAATTCAGGATCGCATGAAAGATTTTTATCAAATTAACATCTTAATTGGTTTGCGTTTAGTCTTGAAGCAACGGTTATGTAAAACGAAAAAAAAAGCGAGTTTCTATAGAACTTGAGTTGCATCAACTCGAAAGAGTTCCCTACTTTCAACTCGCACGAGAATAAATGTTTCTCGTTCGTTGAGGAATTCGCTGCCATTTGATGCTTGATGATCTGTTAGATTCTTTACTGCTCCCTGTAGATCCGAGAGGTCAATGACTGCTGTTTAATTACAACAAAAGTGGGATTAAAAAAAATCCTTGAACCATCAATTTATTGTCAAGGAAAAAGTAGATACTAGAAGTCATGGACGGGGATATTTTAAAGTAACACAAAGATCTTACAACTAACATAAGTACAAATGCATAGTCAAGGCCGTAACTGGGGGGGGGGGGGGGGGGGGGGGGGGGGGGAAGGAGGTCCAGGGGTGCTGCGTGGAGGTCGACATGACAATCTAGTGAGTATCCTCTGTTTGACAGAGTGTGACCTCCCCTTTGAAAAATCCTGGTTACACCCCTGACAGTGCTTGCAGTAGGCAAAAAAATAGGGAAAATATAACTGCTTAATAGTCATGCTACCGGAGAACCCTTCGTCAGGTAAAGTCAAATATCCCCTTGAGTATATTGAGCTGAGGCACTGGGTAGGAAGGGTGTTGAGAATTCTCCGAATTCCGTACCCTGCTCTCCATAAGCCCGCTATTTATCAGAAAACCGTTGCAGATTAATGATAAATAAATGCCCACATTTTTGTAGTTCTTCCAAGCTTTCTGCCCTAAATTAAGTCCCCAGACCTTTTGCTCTTCTGTCTGCTGAATCCATCCATAAGAATCTTTTGATCCATACTGTTCCTTTTCTTCCCTCTCTTAATCTTAACCTGCTAAAAGTGGCCCTTCTGTGACGACACGCACATAACAGCGTCAGGATGATATTCTTGATAGCGCTCCCCTAAAACGAGGGGAGTGGGGGAAGGGGCGTTTAGCCCAGGTGTATTATGTGGGCTCGCATGTGTGCTTAACTGATGTGGCAATTTGTGCACAAAAAAGTACTAAAAGTTTTACCCAAACTAATCACAAACCATTCTCAGCACAGTTACATCGCCTTTTAATGTCTTCCAACAGGTGAAGAATGCGACAGTTTGGGTTAAAAAGAGCCTCTTCATGATCTAAAGAAGTAAAAATGGACACGTGGTATGTCAAGCACGGGGTAGGCAATAAAATTATTATACAGGGCGATTTAATCCGAGCTAGGCGGTGGCGATTGGCTCCAACATCTATGTTATTAAAACTTTCGCTATCATGCCAAGTTCTCCTGCTCACGAAGATTTGGCAAATGTCACTAAGTATCGTATTTACACAATGTTTCCGTGAGTAGATTCGGTCGATCACAGAGGTCTCCACTATACAAGGTAAAAGCTGAGTCTTACCGGTTGTCACTTAATACAGATTTCGTTTGTAGATCTTGAGAAGCTAGTTGGAGAATCTTACTAAGAGCAGTCATTGTACCTCAATTTATTTCACTTTGCCCTTCAAAAATTATCATCAGACGATAACAATTATTAAATTTGGTTAATTTTGCAAAGAGAAGATTAAAAATGAAAACAGTTTCCGGACAACTGAACACAGTAGGTCTCATTTGAGCTGCAAGACTCAGCTCGGACTAATTCCGGAATCAAAAGAGGGGCACTGCATTAAAAATATCTCGGAAAAATAGAATCCTCTGCCATAACATGTTTAACATGTACAGTAAAACAGAAACAGTTTCTTAACACATACTGAGGTTTTGGTGTTGAAAATGAACTCATTTCTTTATTTCAGACTTGTGCCAGTGTTATCGTCTAACACCATTTTTAATTGTTAAAAAATCTAACGTGTGTCTACATCAAGCCGGACCGTTCAACACTCAAAACAACTAAAGGACAGTACCGTAGTTTTTATCAACTCTCCTCTTAGGAGGGTATTCTGAATTAATTTAAAACACTTTGCGGGGGATTTTGGCCAGACTGCATTGCACAGTTTACAATCTTTAAAGAATATTTTTCCGAGTGCCCCCAATTTCGGAATCAAGACCAGACCAAGACACCGGGAGCTGCATTCGATACCTTTTTCGGAAGATTCAGTGAGAGGTCGATGTAACTCAAACTTCAAGCTATCAGAATAGCATGGGACAATGGGAAAGCAATCAGTATAATTGATCCGACTGAGCAAGGTCCATATCCGCCATAATCGCTTTAGGTATGTAATTAGAAAAATAATTTTTTGTTGAGAAATTTAATCAAGTTAAACTTGGTCTGTTAAGCGACATTTGAGTAAGATAGGCGAGTAAATTAAGCGAAAAACGCAGAAACAAATCACAAAAGGTTCTTGTTACATAAACCAGAAACTAATGCTTCAGGTTTGTGCTTCTAAACACTAGCACAACTAGTCTCTCACTCAAATAATACGACTTGATTTCACACCAATTAACCGAACAACAGTAAAGGTGAGTTAGTTTTAAGAATCTTACCTCCATATTTTACTGTAATAAACATTCCTTTTGTAGTTGTTTAATCAACTCTAGCCCCCGCGCTTGGATACCAAGAGCTGCAAGACGAGCTACAACATTGTCTTGCTGTGCTTCTCGTGGTTAGGAAAGAATGCAAGATGACAAATGCTAATTATTATTTAACAAACGAACCGCTCTCAGTCAGGATCAAAGTAAACACTGAAATGTCTCATGCCTGACATCAACCGACGCAGAGTCGGAAAGTCAAAAGCAAACAGAGCTTATTGCTAAGGGTGAGGTAAAGGCACTAACTGATATAACCGAGTGACGAAAACGCTCAACTCTTGATGACTCTAATCGATTATACATGTATATTTCCTTACGGATTGTTTCCAATCTTACATCTTATTGGCTAAGGAAGGATGTTCAGCTCGCACAATTAGGCATATGCTTGCGAACACAGCATCCTAGCTGGGTAATGTGTCAGTACCAGTTAGTTTGGATTAATATCATCAATATTTAATTGGTCAGTCATCATTAGGTCATAGCCCAGTTCCTAAATTCTCCAGCTCCTGTATCTTTTGTCCGCGTGAAGTCTAGCAGGAAACGGGAAACCGTTCTCGGTGAGATCATAAGGTAGCACAATAGTGGCTTCTTGTCACAAAGACCAAACAACGACACTATTCTCTTGGTTTAAAAAAATTCCAGTTTCTAATCTTTTTTGAAGAAAGTTCAACACATTCGCTTTCTTTCCTAAACCGAATACTTTTACACCCCGTTAAATAGACACGCAATCTCCCCAGTCGAGTTCTTTAACTCACTGAAAAAATAGTTTCTGATTGATGGCTTTTCCTGATCTGTCAAACTAAAACACTGTATCAGGACCTCTTCCAAACATTTAACAGTGTTGCGGCAAACGAACATCAAGGCTCGATGAAATACCAAGAAAATCGTGACCGGAGAAAAATGCCAACCAAATCCAGGGGATATATTACAGGGACATAACTTTAATCAATCTCGTAAAATATCAGTCCCTATACGCCGGTGGCTTGAAATAACACTTTATAAATTAACTTTAGATGAACACCGAACATGAACAGGCGATTAATGAAAGCGGGAGAGAAAAACTATTTAAAGGAATCAAATGGCACAAAGGCCAACTGTAACGCAAATGTCACGCAAGTTCGAAAGTCACGCATTTACAAACAGTAAGCGGAATACTTTATCGTTTCAGGTAAACCCTGATTAGAGGATAATTACATCATAGAGGAGAGGCTCTTTTGACTATCGCGAGCTTCCGGACAAATATTATCATGTATTTGATATTCCAGCCCAACACGTTATCTGTATATTAATTGCTACTATTGGTCAAAAATGTTTTAAATTTCAAATAGCTGCCTTCCTTAGTTTCTGTATTTCTATCAATAACAAAGATCTAAAGAACTACAACTACAACTCTATTAAGCTCTAAATACAAGACAAAAAACAGTAGTCTGTACTTTCATCACTGGATACAATTATAGATCGAGACATTTCCAAGAACGTCACTCTCTTGGGTTTTATTAAGCTCAGCTGTACAAGGTGGTTCCACCTTTCACTCACTGATAGGAAAAATCTTCTGTATGCATTGATTCACACAAAAGCTTCTTAAACTAACAAACAACACTTCAATGATGTCCTGATTATTTTCCTGAAGACGTGTAGTGATCAAATGAAATATAGTGACTAGTGTATTCATGTGGTACTTATATTTTGTCTTATGAGGTGATTAACTCTTGGCTACTCATGACCATGAATTTTTTACATAAAACTATGGTGTGTGACCCACACACATCACATCTATGCAGGCCTTAAACCTTTTACACACTAACACCAGTATGCATATTCTCCATACTGTTCGATATACATTTCCTAAGATGCTGGAATGGAGAATTTGTTTAACAATCAAGAGCTTCTTGAGTTTGTGATCATTTCCTTTCTTCTCGTTACCTTAATGTTTGATTCAGGGGTGATACTGGTAGGAGAAATTAAATACTGGTCACTCTTAGGGGTCAAAGGATTAAATGTGATGGTTGAGCAGCACATCAATGTGCTGTTGCTCCTTAGAATGCAATGAAAATACACTTTCAGATGTCAGATGAAGTTATTGATCAAGTACATGCAACTTATCAATCAATATAATATCATAGTGCAAATATCCCTAACGAGATAAAAATTATTTATCTTACAGTACAGAACAATTACCTTCAGGCTAACTAAAGGCAGCTATCTATTTTTTTTATTTTTTTTTTTTAATTAAGATCCTCCTTGCTCTTGTAAGAACTTTTCATATTCTTGGTCAATTTCGTCATCAAACTCTGGATCATCTTCAATGTAATAACCACCATCTTCAGGACTGGAAATAATCATGTTAACAAAAGAACAGTAAAAAAAATAAAACAATTCACAAAAAAAATTTTTTTTTTCATATTTTAAATATTTCAGCCTTTCATATAAATACAATCAATTAAATTTTCTGTTATTCTCATCACCTATTGTATTGATATTGTGAGGAGAAATTCTGTCTTGGTCATTCATGAGAGTTAAATGGTTGACATAGTCTATCAAGTAAACAAGAAAAGGGAATCATCTAGGGAACGTTGTTAGAAAATAAACCCAAATTGTCGTGAACAGATGACACAAAAGGAATGTACATGTAAGAAAATTGCCGTGAAGAATAATTATACACATCTTGGGATTTAAAGGATTTCAGGTGGCACTCTGCACCGGACTGAAAATACAGTATTCTAAATGATACATACTCAAAATCTCCCTCAAACTGTTCAGGAAAGTAGTACTTGTAAGCATCTTGCAGCTCATTATCATCCTCTCCATCATCAAAGTAATCACTCCACTGCTCTGTTTGATGTTAAGCACAAAGGGTTGTTGGAACATAACTTATATAACAAAACTTTAAGATAAAACAGGATACTTATCTAATGTGTTAATGGTTAGAGTGCTGAACTTTGGCTCAAGAGGTCTGGGTTTGATACCTGGCTGGGTCTATGTGTTGTGTTCTTAGACAAAATACTTTTCTACTCAACCCAGGAGTAGAAATGAGTACTGGAAAATTATCAGGGAAGCTTGATGAAATGCTGGGGGGTAACCTCGCAAACAAATGGCATCCCATCCAGGGGAGGAGTAATGATACTCCTAGTCTCTTCATGCTATGATAACCAGAATAAGCTTTGGCCAGATGGGTCACCTGGCTCACATAAAGATGTCACCTTTACCTAATTATGTAAAGGGGTTTGAGCATGATACTGCACTATCCAGTCTAAAAGGCTAAAAATTACTTCTTTTACCTGGATTTATTACTGGAATTAAATCATCGTCTATTGATAATTCCTCCTGAAAGGTTATGAGGAAAACAAAAATCCATGAAAATTTCAGAAGAGAAAAACAATTTTTAATCAAAAATTGGGTGAAATTGATGCCTTTTTTACTTAAGAATATAGAGCACTCAATTCACCAACTGTGATGTGTCTGGTCAATCCAAGAGCTAACTCTGAGTGTCACAGATCCTCAAAGAGACCATACACTGCTAAATTGCCATTGATAGTCCACAATGTTAGAGTACAAGTAGTCCCTCCTTTTTAGCATAATCTGCCACATAAGTAAACACATATACTGGTATACACCCACTTTCAAAAATATTGAAATTTGAAAATATATATATATTAAGATATATGTTAGCACACAGAAAGGAACACTCTGGATGTGAGGTGCAAGAAAAGTAGCTACTTTTTGTGAACCATACTCCCAGAGGTCTGCAAAATGTGCTAACAGCAAATTTTTTCCCCTAAGTTTTTTTACTTGTGCAACTGACCTTGCCAAAAAGGTGGGACTGATCATAGTTTACAACAGTAGCTCATCCATGAGTTGCATCACAACTGTACTTGTCTTCATTACATTACTATATCAACTGTAATGACAAACAGTGTACAGTATGTTATGCATGTTATTTTATCAAGGAAAAGATAACCTACCAGGCCAAGACCATAATAAGGGAAAGAGTATCCATTGTCAGGAGGGAAGTCAAACGATGTTTCACTGGCTCCTACAGCTGGACTAGAGGACCAACTGGATGCTCGTAGCTTTATTACTTGAGAAAGTAACACCTTTGAACTGCAGACAAGAAAGTGATAGGATTATTTTTTTTTATTCATAAGATTCCTTTTGTCTTTTTCTTTTGGTTTGACTTGTTTCACCCTTTTCACTCCAAGATCTCATTAGTAATTCTCCTTACTGTCGGCCATACAGTTCTCATGATACTACTTCACAATCCCCTATTGATATTTTTCTTTATTCTCAGCACTTGTCTTATTGATATTGTATTGATAACGTAAGGAGAAATTCTGTCTTAGTCACTCATGGGAGTTAAAAGGGTTCAAATAATTGTTCCATTATACCTCTTCCTTTGATGGCTTATTAAGAACTACTGGTACAGAGAAACTGTCTTGAAAAAGTGGCTTGTTAACTGTTTAACTCCCCGATCAAATTTGTAATTCTCCTCACTGTCAACAACACAATTCTTATAATGTTAGTTTAGAGAATTTATTATTGGATCAACTACAACTAATTATCCCGAAATTGATATTTTTCTCTATTCTCGTCACTTGTCTGATTGATCAGTATTGTAAAGAGAAATTCTCTCTTGGTCACTCATGGGAGTTAAATGGTTAATGTAATATTATTACTTCATCTACCTTTCTGACAGTGTGGATTCTTTCAGAAGCTGTTCAACATCAGAGAAAACTTTATCAACATTCTGCTTTCTTTCACTGTCCTTTACCATAAATCTGGGATCATCTAGAAGATATCCTGTCATCTGGATACACCAACAGCAAATGTAAACAAAAAAAATTCAAATTCACCTTGTGTTATTGGTGAAGGCAAACCTGAATTGACACAAGCCTAAAAATGTTCATGTGGGTGCCCCTGACAGAACCAGTCTGTTCAAAGGATGAGTGATACAGTCTATAACTTGCAATCTTGCAGATACCTGTAAGTGTACTCAAAACAAACTTTCACCTGCAAGATGGCTTTAATCACCCTTCAATCAACAGTGGTACTATGTTGAACCTACGGTATATGATGCTTGATTTATACATGAAGCTGGCCACTGAGTTGTATGGGAAAGTGCAAATGTGGAGTTTGTTCAGGAGTTTAAAAAGGAAACTTTACTGAAGAGGTGACAATTAAGCCTGTTCAACTATAGATTAGAGTAAAGATCATGTATCAGTCAAATCAGCTTTGATTGTATACAATGATTTCAATACCTTCAATATTTTGCCGATGCATTTGAGGCATTCTTCTGTGTGGTTTTGTAAAAGGGTGGACAACATTTCTAATAATCCTCTATGAAATACCTTCAAAGGTTCACTCTCACCTAAGGGCTGTGAAAATGAAAAAAACAAAGACCCAAGCTATAACATTAAGGACATTTATGTAATAAGTTGAGTTACACAACCATTTTGATTGGTTCTTACTAATGATCTATTACAGGACTGATGCATAGGTGGCATCACCACTAACAATGCTTTGCTTCTTTATTGTATTTAAAAAAAAAAACAATTAGATTCCATTTTTCTGTGGGTCTGTTCAGCAATAGATCACCGAAGACATCAAAATTTGGTAAGAAAATTAGAGATACACTAAGCTGCACTTTGTGTGCCAATTCTGGGTCTTACCACATTTTGACATCATCTGCAATCCTTTACTGAACAGCATAGCACAGCAACAGGGAATCTATTAGTTACATGTAAATACACAGCACATACATATAACAGATACATGTCGCAACAGCTTAGACATTTTTCCATTAAAAATGGTCACATACTTGAAGCAAGTAAATTATCCCCTAACCCTGTAGTTGCAGAAGAGTTCAGCCTCAAACATTGCAAATCCAAGCAATTTTGTTAAAGTTTGTGGGTTTTTCAGAGCATCCTCTCTGTTTTTATGTTCATCCCTACATCTGGAAATTAGTAATGTAGAACAAGTGTTAACATTGAATATCATTCTTCAACCATCCATGTCTTTGGAATTCTGGTCACCAACACATGCAAGATTACTCATAAACCCTGCCAACCAAATAATTTGAAAGAATGACAAAACTTGTACATCATAAATGGAATTTTGAATTTCGTGTACCTATTCATCAAAACACTCCTGAACTTTTCACCACTTTCCAGGATAATGGTATCCTCCTTGGACAACATGTTACAAAGTTTTGCTGCAATGTACTGGAAGTTAGGCTCTGTTATTGACTGAAAAAATTGGAATTAAATACATCTTAAAAACCATAACAAAGGTAATACTTTGTTCAGCACAATTAAAGTTATGACTGATCATGTTTTCAACTTGTCAGCAAAATTTAACCTTTAGGAAATTTTATATTACAAAACCAAGTATGTACAAGTATTATAACTTGTCATTAAAAATTATTTGTCCTTTTTGTTTTCATAAGGGTTACCCTTTAAAATGTGACGATGGCAAATTGACCCTAACATCAAAGTGTATGCATATTCTCCAAACTATTCTCTAAACATTTCCTACGGTGCAGACAAGGAGAATTTGTTGAACAATGAAGAGCTTCTTTGGTTGGTAATCATTTCCATTTTTCTTAATGTTTTGTTCAGGGGTGATATGGTAAGGAGAAATTAGACGCTAATCACTCTTAGGGGTTAGAGACATATATCTAAAAAAAAAACAACAACAACAACAAATGGTACTCACATATTCAAAGATGAGCTCTACCACCTCTTTTAAAGAGTTCACAGTTCCCATACATTTCTTCATCTGATCAACCAAAGTCTTAAAAAAATCATTTAACTCGCCAGGACTCTGAGTCAGTCCAAAAAGGACATCTTTAACACAGTTCATCAGTTCATTTTCAGGTGTGTCATTTATCCTTTGCAATAGCGGTGGTCTGTCAGATTGTGGTCGAACTGACGCAGGCACAAATTCAGGGGCTTTGACTACAGATATCAGATTAAGGGAAGCCTTAGGAACAAATTCTTTTGCAAATGGTGATAGGTTTGTAATTTTGCTTGTGGTTTCTGTTAGTGATGTTTTGTCATGATTCGTAACAGTTTGCTCTTTCTGATCACTCTCCTTGTTATGTTCATTGGTTTCAGCAGTTTCTTTAGTTGCATTAGAATGAACATCACTCTCTTGTGGCAATTTTGTTTCTTCTTCTTTCTCGTCCAGTGGTTTTTCCACTTTTTCCGCTTTACATGCAGGTATCTCCTTAGATTCCTGACTAATTAGTAACTTAGTAGTGGTATCTTCTTTATCTTTTCCAGTGTCTATTAACACAGGATCAGGAGGAACATCTTCCACAGGTTTCTCATTAGTTTCTTGGCTTACAGTTACAGGATTAGTATTTTCCTCTGAATCCTTTTCATTACTAAGCACTTGTGCAACAGCAAGAGAAGCACCTTTGACATAAGAATACATGCAAAAAATCACTCAGTTAACTCAGTCACAATATGACCAGTATCATCTGATCAATGCCACCCAGCTGCTACTGAAAAGGCAACTGTAATTTCAAACACTTAGTTTTCAGCAATATCACACATTGCAGTTTTTACATAAAATCAAAATTAATTATACTATGGAGGGGAGGGTAACTGTGGTACTGAATTGGGCAGGAGGGCGGTATTGGTTTTATCAGTTTTATCAACTGAGTTGATAAATGTAAATTGACCACTGTAAAAGAGATCACCATGGCCAATTCTCATTGATGACTCACTTGATAAACCAAATTATATTAAAAAGTATTGTTTGAATTGACTGAGGGTATTTATGGAATGTGTTTGGATTCTATTAAATGATATGTAACTCTCAGAAGAAGCTCTGCCTACTGTACAACTCAGGTAAGAATAGTTAAAAGTTTACCTGTTCTAACTTAATGTGAGGCAAGATTTCCCCAGAGCCCCATAATTCATTATACATAACACTGTTCTGGGGTAAAGGTTACCTTTTGGACTCTAGTTTTGTATAAGAATCTTTCGAGGTTATACGGAAGTCTTTCCGAATCTTATTATCTCGTGGACATTATTACACCCTCTTGGATAGTAAGTAGCCGTTTAAAGTTACACGAACCAAACTGATACAAATGACTGATTACAAGGGTTATTTGCATACAGAAAATGGATAGCCTTTTAAGCTATAAATACACACATAAAATATTAAAGTGGGATTTCGATACTTCGAGCTTTCGACTCCAGCTACCTAAACACTATGCGTGCGTGTTGAGTTGATGTGATTGTACGGATTCACATACGAAAATTTCTTCGAGATTTCGGTTCACTTAGAAATTAAAACCAACGAATAAGAAAACCAAGAGATACATCATTTCTATTAAGTTATAATGACAACAAAATGTCACCTTTTTCAGTTTCAGTTGAAAGGGAAGGGGTTTCCTTTTCGTTCTCTTGAGTGTTCAAGTCTTCCCGCTTCTCGCCAGGTCTTCTAAGTGGAGTCGTGTAGTCTTTTGACGTAATTGTTTTCTTTCCAGGCATTATTCATATGTTGAGAAACTGAAAAATCCGAATTTTCTATGAATTACGAACCATTTCATCGAAAAAGTCCATTCCTCTGTGACCTCAACTCGAAAACAACATATCTCAACCAAATAACTCAGCACCCTGGCCTCATGATTACCATACCGCTGACAAAGAGTCATAATGACCCTGGGCTCGAGATTGATTAGGACCTTGATGGTGATCATTTAGAGAGATGGAGGAGAGATTGAACAACTGGAAGCAACATGGCAACGAGTAAAATGCCCAAAAAACTGACTCTTATTCAGACGAATCAAGTCTTTTCCTTCATATAAACATTGAGTGAAAAAAACTTCCAAGAATAAGCGGCTCGAACTTTTTCCTTAAAAGTTCCTTAGATAGTACCTTATGAACGGTGCTTCAAGAAAAAAACGATTATTTTCAGAAGTTTGTGGTTACCCTTTATCCTTGAGGATTCATGTTACGTATTTTTGAAAGAGTGTTACCTTGGAAACTTGGTAAAGTTTTACGAAATTTTAAGGATTTCCTCTTTTTTTCACTTCGTGCTCATTTTGATTACCTCTTTCTCTTCTAGGTGATCTCTCTTGCAGCGTTTTGATATTATTCACTTCCGGCTACCTCGAAGATAGTTGTTCGACATATGTTCAGAAATGCATGCAGTAACGAAAATGACGAAACTTTGTCAAAATCGCTAAGGTGAGGTGACTTGTGCGGTAAAATTTAATACCGAACAACCATCGACAATTTATATGTAAGGTGAGTAATGTAAGGTAAGGTGTAAGGTGTAAATGAACCTGATTTAATTAACACACAATTTTTTTTTATCAGGGCTGGATTGTCGCATTATTTGCTGTTAACTTTACACCCAGTATTCCAACAAGGAACCATTAACTGTTTGCACCACTACTTGTCCATCCAGATCAAAGTGCGTCAAATGAATAACTTCTTCTCGTATGCCAGTGACGTGACAGTCATCATCCATGGAAGCCACAACGCAGCTACTGGTTGGAGTGTCTGCAGACCATGATGATGAGAGCGTTAAACTAGAAACTAATATCAGTTTCTGACGAAAGAGAGATTAGATATTGGTTTGCGACGTGAGTCAAAATAAAGCCTACTGAATGAAAAAATTCGGGGGGTATTACATGGTTTTCCAGTGAAACGGAGGAGGATCAGCTGTCGCCAACAGAGCATAGAGGGAGGAACATAGAAAATTTACCGAAAATTAACCGCCAATCAGGAGGATTATAAGAATCGTACAGATTCTTAGGGGAAGAACAACTAAATTTTCACGT